TGTTTGTTTTAAGTAGCTCAAAGATAATGAAATACAGAGATAACCAGGATGACTGAGCCAGACAAGACACTCACTAATCTCCTATTGCTCTTTTTAAAGTCTTTTACAATTTTTCCTAACACACATCTTAGAAAAAGGAGGTGTCAACTAAAGATAGAGAAGAGTAGACAATCTTGAATATGTATGTGTATGTGTGTATGTATTAGAATCAGCAGGATTTGGTGTTTCATTGGGGTAGGGACAGGGGCCAAAAGGAAAATAACCAGGGAAGTGTCTATTTGAAATTCCTAAATGACAAAAGATGCCATCAGTGCCTGTCCGGATTTCTCTGTAGAGGGGCCCACCTGGCAGGGAAGAATCAGACCCATGGCTAATTATATTCTAAACTCAACCAAAATATACCAAACGGTATGGATAAAAAGAAAATGAAACAAAATTCATTGTCTTCAACAGGATCTGTTTCTCTCTCGTGCTAGCCTAGGAATACAAAGTTGTCCAGCAAATAATAAGTGACACCATGTACAAACATAAGCTTTCCCCAGCTCATGGAAATCTCCCAATCTAGATCTGTGTTAGTTTTCTCCCAACATCACCAGTGTGGAGGCAGCCTAACTTAAGACAAAGCAAAGACAAAGACTGCAGACATAGTTTAGTACCGCTGCACAGATCTTCTGTCTCATTATATCCAAACACTCATAATTTCTTAGATAAATTTCTCCTAAACCGTTACCATGGAGTCTATTCCGAATTATAGTGATCCTATGGGACAAAGTTGAACTGCCCCCTAGGGTTTCTTAGGCTGTAATCTTTACGGAAGCAGACTGCCACATCGTTCTCCCATGGAGCTGTTAGTGGGTTTGAACCTCCGACCTTTAGGTTAGCAGCCAAATGCTTTAACCACGCTGGCACAGAAGATACACCAATTCAACAGTTTCTATATGTACAATTCAGAGAGACTGGTTACATTCTTCAAGTTATGCAACCATTGTTACCCTCCTTTTCCAAATTGTTTCTCCCCATTAACATAAACTCACTGTCCCCTAAGCTTCCTATATAACCTTTCGAGTTACTGTTGTTAATTTGATTCCATATAGATAGACAAAAGAGCACAATGCTCAAGGCAGACATTCTTTACTAATTAAGCTAAAATACTGTTTGGTTCTTCTTCCAAAACATATTTGTTTCTTCTTCCAGCAGTCCATTGTATATTCAATATTCTTCACCAACATGGTAGTTGAAATGCATCAATTCTTCTCTAGTCTCCCTTATTTGTTGTCTAGCTTTCGCTTGCATATGAGGTGACTGAAAATACCATGGCTTGGGTCAGGCGCACCTTAGTCCTCAAGGTGACATCTTTGCTTTTTAACACTTTCAAGAAGTCTTTTGCAGCAGACTGGCCCAAGGTAATATGTCATTTGATTTCTTGACTGCTGCTTCCATGGGCATTGGCTATGGATCCAAGCAAAATGAAAAAATTAACAACCTCTATCTTTTCTCCATTTATCATGATGTTGCTTACTGATCGGGTTGTGAGGATTTTTGTTTCCTTTATATTGAGGGGTAATTCATACTGAAGGCTGTAGTCTTTGATTGTCATCAGTAAGTGCTTCAAGTCCTCTTCACTTTCAGCAAGCAAGGTTGTGTCATCTGCATCACAGGGTGTTAATGAGTCCTCTTCCAATCCTGATGTCATGTCCTTCTTGATATAGTCAAGCTTCTCGGATTATTTGTTCAGCATACAGATTGAATAAGTATGGTGAAAGGATACAACTCCGACACACAACACATACTTTTTCTTATTTTAAACCATACAGTATCCCCTTGTTCTGTTCGAACAACTGCCTCTCAGTCTATGTACAGATTCTGCATGAGCACAATTGGAAGTATAACCAGAATGGTCCTTAGAAGCAAGGGTAGCGAGGCTTCATCTCACTTACTCTGGACATGTTATCAGAAGGGACCAGTCCCTGGAGAAGGACATCAGGCTTGGTAAAGTAGAGGGTCAGCAAAAAAGAAGAAGACCCTCAATGAGATGGACTGACACAGTGGCTACAACAATGGGCTCAAGCATAACAAAGATTGTGGGCATGGTGCAGGACCGGGCATCATTTCGTTCTGTTATATAAGGGGTGGCTATGAGTTGGAGCCGACTCGACAGCACTTAACAACAACATTGTTTGGTTAAGTTAAGGAGTCCTGGTGGCTCAGTGGTTAAGCCCTCAGCTGCTAACAGAAAGGTCTGCAGTTCGAATCCACCAGCTGCCCTGTGGGAGAAAGATGTGGCAGTGTGCTCCCGTAAAGATAACAGCCTTGGAAACCTACGGGGCAGTTCTACCCTGTCCTATAGGGTCACTATGAGTCAGAATCGACTCGATGGCAACAGGTATTGTTTGGTTTAAAAAAGACTTCAGAGGAGATTTTTGGTTTAAGGTTTAAAGATTATCTGCTCACCATAACTGTTGAGAATTTTTTGAAAGAATTCAGGTACATGACCAAATGATCAACACACACTGAGAACTGTCAGAAAAGAAGTCACAGGACAATTACAAGGAGGGTACTTTTAAAGCTCAAAGCAAATGCATACTTCAGAGTAAACAGCAGCAGTACTGGGTTCAAGGTGAGGCTCTGCTCCTAACCTTGAATGTGTCAATAACAGCTCTAGATCTCGAAATAAAGCAGCTCTACTGGGTGACGCTCCAGTTCAACAGTCTAGAATGTTCTGTCAAGGTGATGTCTTATCTGAACCAAATTCATGGCAATACTCATAAGGTTAAACATTTCCAGTTATTCTTTCCCAATTGTCATCTCTTCTTCTACACACACCCTCTCCATAACCTTTTGTGCTGTCTACTTCTCTCTATTCTCACCATCAGGTACAAAAGTAATTTATCCAGTTTCAAATGATCCTTAATTTAGGTTTACCAAGGCTACGATACTCTCAAATTGCTCTTCAATGTCAGTTCAAACGCAATCCTTCCCAGTGGCTAAACTTAGCTGCTAAAAACTAAGTATGCTTAACTTGTTCTCGCTAGATAGAGAATGACCGCGTTATCCCCTATGACGGTTAATTTTATGTGTCAGCTTGGCTAGGCTGTGGTTCCCACTGGTTTGGCCAAACACTAGTCTAGTTGTTGTTCCACAATGTAATGTCATGACCTGCCATAATATAATGCAATGTAATGCACTCAATGAATCACTTGAAAAGGGAGTTTCTTAAGGGTGTGTTCTGCCTATAGACTATAAATAGACATTTTGGCAGAATTCGCTGTCTTCCTTCTGCATTCTTTCTGTTGCCTGACCTACAGATCTTGGGACTCAAGCCTGCAGGAGTGTCCTGCCTGCCACCTAGCCTGTACATTTTGGACTTACCAGCCCCCACAATCTCATGAACCAAACTCATGAAATATATATATGTATCTCGTTGGTTCTGTTTCCCTAGAGAACCCTAAGACATCCCCAGTAACAACTGGGATGGATAATTTTACACATATGAGCACTTCTGAGGCCACTGGGATAAAGCACCTCATATCCACACTCTCCCAGGTGCTTAAACTATGTTGCCCAAAATATAGTCACATGCAGATGAATACTTTAAATGTTTTGAATAATGTCAAGTCCAAAACGCAGCTGTTACCCGTACCTCTAGAACAGAACAAATTAAAATTTCATCAGAAAAGGGCTTCATCTGCTTTGGAACAATCTTAAATATACCACCAATTAGGCAAGTATTACCTTGTGACCCTTCTGTCAAAGTCAGTTTTCACATTCCTTGTACTCTCAGAAGCAAGATAAAATATCCCGTGGCAAAAACTAAGAAAACACTGCAATCAAATAATCAACTAGAAATACTGGGATTACAACAATTTTTAAACGGTGCTGTTACTCAAAGTCATCCTAAAACAGCCTCGTTTTTTAACTCAAAGAAAGATTAGCCTTATTTTTTGGACTTTTGCACCTCAAGTAGAAAATTTTGAAAAATAACTCATAATTAAAATAGCTTTCTTAAAAGACCACCAGGGTGTTTCTCTGAGAAACCTCTATTTTTCATCTTGCTACAGTATAGTCCTGTAATCCATTAGAGGGAGTCCCTGGGTGGTGCAAGTGATTAACATGCATGGCTACTAACCAAAAGGCTGGAAGTTCAAATCCACCAAGAGGCACCTGAGAAGAAAGACTTAGTGATCTACTTCCAAAAACCAGCCATTGAAAACCGCATGGAGCACACTTCTACACTGACACACACGGGGTCACCATGAGTCAGAAATGACTCGACAGCAATTGGTTTATAATCATTAACCTGAAAAGTACCTCCCGATCCAATGGTAGTGGGCAAAATTACAACTTCAATAGCCATAACCAACTGACAGTCATATTAGAACAAGTTTGAAAACAGCACTGCCAATTCTTCTCTTCAGCATCCTCTGCCACTAAAAAATTTATTAATCAAAATGTTGATTATGGTCCGAATGGCTAGACATGCTGAGAAAGAACAGATCTTTGGGGAAAAAATAAGCAAATACACACGAAAAGAAATCATAAGGCAGGTAAGCATTATTAGCCACATCCACAAGAATGAAACATCCTCAGTATTTTTGCACAGGATAGAAAGTCTGCATGAATGATAATAATTTGGTTTTAACTAGGCAAAATTAAATCGTGATCTTTTTTAACTAAGTGAACACAAAGAAAATTTTCCAACTGATGTATTCATTTCCTAAAACCCCGGATTCACGGAGTCAAAACCAGCAAACCATTAGGTTAGGTATCTGGAGAATGTCAGCTCAAACCAAAGAGCATCACATGAGCTGACTACATGAACACCAGTATTTCCATTTAAATATATTTTAGAAGAAAACAGACGATGCATAAGATGTATCTGCATACTCAAAAGATTTCTGTTAGGTAACCTTCCATGGGGAAAATTCACTGCACTTCCACCGAACTCAAGAGTCAGAATGAGGCATTTGAGTCATTTTAAGGATTTTGAAAGTCCCAGTTACCTTCGAAAATCGAGCATTTATCCATTTGGTAAAGGTCTTCTTCTGTACGTCATTGTGTTCATCTGTAGTGAGGGAAAAGGAGAGAGAAAAGTATGAGAGTTTGTACCTTTAGTAAGGGTATTATATAAGATTATCTCCATCCTGGGGTGTTTAAAACAGTCCTATTAGTAGAGCTCATGAGGTACAATGATCCACCGCTAATGAAAAGTGTGATGACTGAAGAGTTCTTCATTTCTGGAGCCTGCTAATGGCTAGAGCTGATGGAGGCTCAGGCACCTTTCCCAAGAACCTGGCTCTTTGCACCGCACCAGCATATTGCTGCCACTTACTACCACCCGGGTTTGTGGGATAGTAATAGGACCTTGGAGCCCTGGTGGTGCAGTGGTCATGCGATCGGCTGTTAACCAAAAGGTCAGCAGTTTGAATCCACCAGCAGCTCCTTGGAAACTCTATGGGGAAGTTCTACTCTATCCTATAGAGTCACTGTGAGTCGTAACTGATTCAACGGCAAAGGCTTTGGCTTATTTTTAAAATGACCTTACTTTGTAAATATTACACTCTTTGCTGCATTTTGTGGTTTTGAGTAAATTTTCAGCATGATAAAAATTTTAGCGTGCTCGAAACACAATGAAGTGATCCAACAAAAACTAAGGAATTCACGATTTGCCTCCTTTTCACACAGGTCCTACACCCCCAGAACAGAAAGTAGTATAAGGTTTATAGTTAATTCTGCAGCCTATTTTCCTGTAGTAAGACTGACATGACAAGGATTCAGGGGCAGATTAACCAGAAAGCACGGTACGCACCGGCTTACAGTAAGCAAGGTATGCACGGGTTTCATTCTGCTTACTTACTATTCTCTAGTGCACAATTCACCTGTTTTCACCAATCAGAGATGTGGTGAAACCCATGTGAAATTGTGCACTACAAAAACAGGAGAAACTGTGCACTATAGATTAGTAAGTAAGCACAATTAAGCCCTTGTGTATCTTACTTATTGGGTAATCCATCCCTGCTGAAGAATTTTATGATCTCAAGCTATAAAAACCATCTATACATTTTACAAAGAAAGAACGCAAAGGAGTATAGAAAAATCAACAGATTGATTTAGATTACAAGTTCATTTTCTCAGCCACGACAAATGAAAAATGACCTTTAAAAGATTTCTTGAAGACAAAAAGATTTATTAGTAGATATGAGGAGGCCTTGTTGTGTAATAGAAAGAGCAAAGGGCTTTAGATCCAAAGACTACTGTATCCCAATCCACTTACTGTGTGATCTCAGAATAGTCACTAGACCATCTCTCAGCCTCATATCTCTCACCTGTATCACAGGCTATTTATACCTAGCTTGCAAGGGTTATGTGAGGATTAGTGAATATAAGTGACAAACACTTGGCTAAGAGATGGTATTTAACCCTTGTTACTGTTAAATTATTACTATAGTGTATTAAACAAGGCAGACATATATATGTGTGTGTGTATATATATATATATTTTATACCCTTTCTGTTATTACAGAACGCAACAGGAGACTACGGACAGCTTATAAAGGGAAGAAAACTTTCCAGTCATACCCTCTTGACCACTCCCCAATTCTCTATTAAAACTAGCAAAACAGTCTGGTCCTTACTCCCCTCCAGAAGGAGAGTTTGTAATGAAAAGGTCATTCGTGGAATAAACATCACAGCAGCTCCAGAAAAGAGTTTTACAGATCTATAAAGGTAACTGGAGACTGGCTCCAAGTCACAAAAGGAGTAATTGGTATAAAAAAACAAAACCGCTCTCCAAGAAACTTCTTGATGTTAATTGTGCTGAGAGGTGACCTTTCCTCCAGAAAGGACAATGTAGGCAGCATCAGCCCCTATTTCAGGGTTCCAATCAATGCCACACACAAGTCTTTTATGATCCAAGAGGACTTAATTATACACACTCAATGTCCTAGCCTTGCCCATGATACCCGAGAGGGACAAACCGGAAATACACTCATAATATAAGGCTGCTGCACATGTGAACTTGCAGAGGGCGCTATACCAGGCTTATCAAAAAGGAATTTAATATTAGCTATCAGGGCAGGGGACACTTGGAATATCCAATTATTTGTCCCACTTCCTTTAAATAAATCTACAATTTACTTTTGTAAACTTTACCATATTTATTTCCTAACCCTATTAACAAAAATATGTAAAAGTCATTGTCTTACTTTACAGTATTCATACAATTTAAGAATTTTTTACCATAAATACGGGGGAAATTCTAAGAGAGAAATATTATTACATTTTATTCTCTCTTAACCTCTTTTCAGAAGTTTTAACTTTCTTATTTTCAAAAACATATTAAAGTATTTAATACTATCTGTCTCAGTCATCCAGTGTTGCTCTAACAGAGACACCACGAGTGGATGGCTTTACAAAGAGAAGTTTATTCTCTCACAGCCCAGTAGGCTACAAATCCAAAGTCAGGCCATCAGCTCCAGGAGAGCTTTCTCCCTCTGTTGGCTCTGGAGAAAGGTCCTTGTGATGCATCAGTCTTTCCTTAGTCTGGGAGCATCTCAGAACAGGAACCTCAGGTCCAAAGGACACGCTCTGCTCCTGGTATGAGGTTCCCACATGTCTCTGCTCGCTTCTCTCTTTTATATCTCAAGACACTATTTAATCCTGTCAACCTCATCAGTATAACCTCATCACAGTGACAGAATTTACAACACATAAGAAGATCACATATAATCTCATCATAGTGATAGAATTTACAACACATAAGGAAATCACATCAGATTACACAATCATACAACACTGGGAATCATGACCCAGCCAAGCTGACATATATTTTGGGGGGACACAACTCAATCCATGACGCTATCCCCTCCAGATAGAGGAGACAAAGACATGAGTGTCTATCACCTTATCAAATGATAAACAAGATTTTTAAATTTTATCAAATATACAATAAAATCAAATTTTAAAAATAGATTTCCACCCCACACTGAGATGTTTATAAAACTTAATAAGGTAATGTTTGTACAATAGTCTTTAATCTTTGACTCCAATCAAAGTCTGAATATGAGTCGAAGTAACTGATATGAAATAAACTATTTGCTTGCAAAAGATAAGCTGTCTACCATCCAAATATTTTAAATATACTCTAAGATTAAAAAAAAAAAAAAACTCCAAGATTTATAAACACTGCTGTGTATTCATTTTCCTGATAAAACTAGAGAGAAACAAATGGGTTCACATTTCAGTTAAGACTGAAATAGTTCTTATTACCCTTTTTTTAGACACACACACCTTTTATCTTCCACCACACAGGAATTCAGCAAAAGAAAAGGAATTAGCCGGAGGCTTTTCAATTATGAGATTAAAAATGCAACAAATTTTGGAACACTTACTGATGTAGAACTGCCCAAGTCTCTCTATCAGGGAGGTGAAAATATGCTAGCAAAGCGGTACGAGGACAACTAAAACTCTAACATGCTACCCTGCTAAAGCAGTGGCCCTTTTACAAATGTATACAGAACTTCGACCAGTCTAAAATTATTTCAAATTTCCATGAGCAAGCCAATTAGTCATTTTAATTTCTCCAAAATAAAAATATATATGTATAAACATAGATTTACAGATTACTAGATTATTTACATATATATTAAATGAGTGAGTATAATTACACTGTAAGCCCACCTTCTCTAAATTTATTCAGTTTTCTAAATTTAAACAAGTGTTTCCTTTAGATTTGGTTTTTAGAAAGACATTTAGTTTCTTGAAGCCTTGCTGGCTTAGCAAATCTTATCCGATAATGACCTTTCTCCATCAGGGGCACGAACACGGGACTGAATTAGGAGAAGAAAAATGTGTTAAATCCCTTAAGGATGATTTTCCAAATTCTTCCTCTAAATATCTTGCTTTTCTTAAAATGCTTTTGACATGCTCACACAGATCCACAGGCCTTCATTGCTGCCTAGCCTCGCATTTTATTTCTGTGGCAGATAAGAGGAGTGAAGCAAAAAACATCAACCACGCTGTTCGATAATTCTTCAAGGAAAGTGATTTGAAACATTTTCACTTCACTAACTCACATACATATCGAGAATTCTTTTAGCAAAATTTACCAACAAGTCTCAATTTAAATCCTGAACTGGAAATGTGGCAGAGAAATTAGGGATCTTTTTTTCCTCTATGAAAACACACATGTCTTAGGAACAGGCAGACAACCATTAAAACTCTATTACTATTAGAGAGAAAGTATTATCCTCTAGTACAGCTTTCGAAGCAATTTAAGAGTATCCGATTGGCTGGCACTAAGCTAATACGAGTTCCATAAAACCTAGCTATTCAGAAAAGAAGTTGCTAGACTTTAAGCCAAAAAAGAAATGTTGGATGATTTAAAAGTTAGGTTGACTTTATTAAAGCCTCTTCTACAAACATAAAATTCAGCACACCCTGGAAAGCCAGTTTTTCATTGGCAAAAAAGATTATTTCAGAAGCAATGAAAGTAATTCAGACTGTATTCACTTCTCTTTCTGGGCCCGGTAGGTCCATGCATCACCTCCCAAATAAAACTCCTACTAAGACTTAGTCATGTCATTCTTCTCTCTTGTTTCCTCATACCTAATTTTTTGATCAATGAATAGCACCGATTCATTTATTCAAACAGTATTATTGAAATATCATATTAAAATACATAAAAATTAACATAACAATGTATAAAATATTATAAAGAAATAGAGCCAAAAAGAGACAGGCTGCTCTCAAGCCATCCTGAGTTTATTTTAGTCAGCCTGCCACCCTCGGAGGACCTAAAAAAAAACTTAAAATTAAAATGTACTTTTCGAAATTGTCAAAACTACCTAGGCATACAGGAAATTTAGATAATGAACATTTTCAAATAATATTTTATAAGTTTTTAGCTCTTATACTTTGAAGTATATTTAAGCTTTAATGCTTAAAAATGCACTTAAGAAAGAAAATGAAATAAAAAGCATCCAGATTGAAAAGGAAAAATTAAACTCTCTCTATTTGCAGATGACATGCTCTTGTATCTAAAAAATTCTAAGGAATCCATGAAAA